CCTTGTGGAACTCTGAACAATTCCTAGAGAGAAATTTTTTTAAAAACCTATAAGGGCTCAAAGTATTATGGTATCTCTTTATTGCTCTCCTCTATTCTTTTGCAAATGTACTCTTCCTGATCTCTCATTTTCTCAGCCTACTGTACTGCTTTTCTCTTTCTCCTCCCTCCCTGCCCTTTCTGTCAGGCTACCAATTTAATCAGGATCACTTGTCTCTTTCCCCTTCTCGAGAGGACCATCTATGTCTCTCTTAGGGTCCTCCTTATTCCTTAGCTTCACTGGTGGTGTGGAATGTAGGAGTGTTATCATTGCCTCTTTGTCTACTATGAGTGAGTACATAAGATGCTTCTCTTTCTATGACTAGGTTACCTCAGTCACGATGGTTTCTTACAGTTCCATCCATTTGCCTTCTAATTTTAAGATTGCATTGTTTTATTTTTCTGCTGAATAATACTACATTGTGTAAATGTACCACATTTTCTTCATCCACTCTTTGACTGAACAGCATCTATATTGCCTCCACAATCTGGCTATTACAAACAATGCTGCTATGAACATATTTGTACAGATGTCCTAGATGTATCAATGTGCATCATTTGGGTATATGCACAAGAGTAGAATTGCTGGATCTTGTAGTAGACTGATTACTCTTTTCAGGAAAAGCTGCCATACTGATTTTCAAAGTGGCTGAACAATTTTACACTCCCACTAAAACGGGTAGAGTGTTACCCTTTCTGCACATCCACTCCAGCATAAACTATCATTGGTGTTTTTGATTTTACCCATTCTGACTAGTGTAAGATTGCTTTGTTTTGCATTTCCCTGAAGGCTAAAGATGTTGAGGAATTTCTTAAGTGTCTTTTATCCATTTTAGATCCTATATTGAGAGTTGTCTATTTACTTCAGCATTCCTACCTTTCAATTGCATTATTTGGTATTTTAGTGTGTAGCTTATTGAGTTCTTTCTATATTTTGGAAATCAGCCCTCTGTCAGATGTAGGGTTGGTGAAGATTTTACCCATTCTGTAGGCTGCCATTTTGTCTTGTTGACAGTGTCCATTGCTTACAAAAATAGTCCTATCAGCAGGTACCATTTATTAATAGTGATTCCAGTGTCTGTACTATTGGCATTATGTTCAGGAAGTGGTCTCCTGTACCAATTAATTCAAGGGTACCTTCCACTTTCTCTTCTAGTAGGTTCAGTGTGGCTAATTTATGTTGAAGTCTTTGATCCATTTGAAATTAGTTTTGTGCATAGATAAGAATATAACTACAATCCTTCTACATGTCAGCATCCAGTTATGTCAGCACCATTTGTTGAATATGCTATCTTTTTTCCATTGTATAAGTTTAGCTTCTAGTAAAAAATCAGGTTTCCACAGGTGTGTGAATTAATATCAGGGGTTTCACTTGGATTCCATTGGTCTACTTTGTATCTGTGTCAAGACCAAGCTGTTTTCATTACTAAAGCTCTATAATAGAGCTTGAAGTCAGGGAAGGTGACTCCACTGTAAGTTGCTTTATTGTACAGGGTTGTTTTGGCTATTCTGGGATTTTTGTTTTTCCATATATATAATATGGAAATATATATTTAATATTAATATATATGTATATATTAAATTCTGTGAAAAATTGTGCTGGAATTTTGATTATGAATGCATTGTATATGCAGATTGCTTTTGGCAAGAATGTCATTTTTACTATGTTGATTCTACCTATCCAAGAGCGTTGTACATCTTTCCATTTTCTGGTATCTTCTTTAATTTCTTTCTTTAAAGACTCAAATTTCTTGCAATACAGGTCTTTCACATGTTTGGTTAATGCTACCCCATGATATTTTATGTTGTGTGTGGCTGCTGAAAAGGGTGAGTCTCCACTGATTTCTTTCTCATCCCATTTACCATCTATGTATAGTAGGGCTACTGATTTTTTGTGTTAATCTTGTATCATGCCACTTTGCTGAAGGTGATTATCAGCTGTAGGAGTTGTCTGGTAGAATATTATGGGTCAGCTATGTATACTATTATATCATCTGCAAATAGTAAAAGTTTGACTTATTACTTTCCAGTTTGTATCCCCTTGATCTTCTTTAGTAGTCTTATTGCTCTAGCTAGAACTTCAAGTACAATATTGAAGAGATAGAGAGTGGGCAAACTTGTATTGTTACTGATTTTAAGAGAATCACTTTGAGTTTCTTTCCAATTAGTTTGATGTTGGCTGTTAGGTTATTGTATATTGCTTTTGTTATGTTTAGGTATGTTCCTCTTATCCCTGACCACACTAAGTCCTTAATCATGAAGGGTTTGTGGATTTTGTCAAAGGCTTTTTCATCATCTAATGAGACAATCATGTAGTTTTTCTTTTGCAGTTTGTTTATGTGGTGGATTACACTGATAGATTTTCATATGTTGAACAATCCCTGCATCACTGGGTTAAAGCCTACTTGATAATGGTGGATAATTTTCTGATGTTTTCTTGGATTCAATTTGACAGTATTGTGTATTTTGCATCCATGCTGATGAGGGATATTGGTCTGCATTTCTCCTTCTTAGTTGTATCTTTCTTTGTGTGGTTTAGGTACCAACATAATTGTAGCGATGTAAAAAGAGTTTGGCAAGGACCCTTCTGATTCTATTTTGTGGAATGCTTTGAGGAGTATTGGTATTAGTTGTTATTTGAATTAATGTTAGAATTCTGTGCTGAAACAAGGATCTTTTTTGGTTGGGAGACATGATGATGCTTATATTATTGGATATAGATTTATTTATATTTCTTATGTGTTCTTTATTTAGTTTTGGTAAGTGATACTTATACAGAAAATTGTCAATTTCATTTAAATTTTCCAATTGTGTGGGAAACGGGTTTTCAAAGTATGACCTGATAATTCTCTAAATTTCCTCAGTATCCTATGTTATGTCCTCCTTTTCATTTCAGATTTTGTTAAGTTCCACATTCTCTCTCTGCCCTTTGGTTTGTTTGGATAAAGGATTCTCTATTTGGTTGATTTATTTTGGAGAACAAATTCTTTGTATCATTGATTTTTTGTTTTGCTCTCTTTGTTTCTACTTTATTGATTTCAGCCCCCAATTTCATTGTTTCCTGTAATCTGCTTCTCCTGTGTGAGTTTGCTTCTTTTTGTTCTAGAGATTTAATGTATGCTGTTGATTCTATAATGGAACTATTCTCAAATTTCTTCACGTGGGTTCTAGTAGTATGAACTTTCCTCAGAAGTGCTTTCAAAGTTTCCCATAAGTTTGGGTATGCTGTATCTTCATTTACATGGAATTCTAAGAAGTCTTTAATTTCTTTCTTTATTTCTTCCTTGACCCAGTAGTGAATCAATTCAGCAATTTTCAATTTCCTTGTGTTTGTAGGTTTTCTGGAATCTGTGTTGTTGCATTCTAACTTTAAACCATTGTGATCTGATAGGATACAGGGGGTTATTACAATTTTTTGTATCTGCTGAGGTTTTCTTTGTTGCCAAGTATGTGGCAGATTTTAGAGAAGGTTATGTGTGGTGCTGTGAAGAAAGTATATCATTTTGTGTTTGGGTAGAAAGTTCTATAGATGCCTATTAAACCAAATGGGTCATACTGTTAAACCCAAGTGGGTCATAAATTCTGTTCTTTCTTTCTTTCTTTCTTTCTTTCTTTCTCTTTTTCTTTTCTTTCACCCAAGTGGGTCATAAATTCTGTTCTTTCTTTCTTTCTTTCTTTCTTTCTCTTTTTCTTTTCTTTCGTTTCTGTCTGGTAGTCCTACCCAATAGTGAGATTGGGGTGTTGTAATCTCCCACTGTAAGTGTGTGGGATTTTCATGTGTGACTTTAGTTTTACTAGTGTTTCTTTGACAAATTTGGGTGTTTGTCCTTGGGACATAGTTTCAGAATTGAGAATTCATCCTGATCAATTTTTCCTGTGATAAATATGAAATGCCATTCTTCATCTCTTTTCATTAATTTTAGTTTGAAGCCTAATTTTTTACATACTAGGATAACTATACCAGCTTGTTTCTTAGGTCCATTTGATTGTAAAATCCTTTCTCAACCATTCACTCTGAGGAAATATCTGTCTATGAGTTGAGGTGTGTTTCATGTAATCAGAATCTTGGTGTGCAATTAAGTAAATAGATCCTAAAGAACAGCAAGTGATTCTTCCACGTTGCTTAACATACTGAGGAGTATTATTTCTTAACTGATTATCAGGTAACATTTAGAGGAAATAGTTTGGGTAATATCTCTCTACTCTCTAAAAATATCATTCAGGTGTGAAAGAGCTAAAGAATTATCCTCAGTGAGAAGATGGTATTTCCAAAACATAATGTTGTTGTTATACCTTAGTGGATTTTCTTTCTAATTACCATATGAGATTTGGTATTACATCACATTTCTTGATATATTAAGAAAATATAGGTAATATACTCCTCAAATTATTTGTTCTAATGCATAGGAATACTTAAAATTAAATAATAAATGTTTCAGGTGGTCAATTTCCTGAAGACCATACAATTTATAAACCCTATTGGAAAGCAAGTGAACATGAATCTGAAAGAAAACCAGGATATGAAGTATGACATTCATTACACTATGGATTTTTTGCCATACCATGGACTTAAGGTCAAAATAGGAAAATTTTCCAAACATTTGTTGCATAGTCAACAGTTTCATGTGTCTGAAGAGATCATAAAGTGGAATATAGACCTCAGGAAGGTTTGTTTTACTTATTTGTACAATTCTACATGTAACACAAGTACCCCAAATATAAAAATTGACTTTACAATCTTCATGAGACAGAGTATTTTCAAATATAGTCACTAACTTCTCGCATTTCTAGATTTTCCTTCACTACAATTTAGTTCAGTAGTATGAAAATTCATACAATGTGGATGGTCCTCTTTTCCTGCTGACCTACTGGCCACAAGGTCAAGAGGGCAAGAATTAATATCAGTGACAGAAAGCTCTGTACATATCCCATGAGCATGAGTGGAAACAGCTCCAAAGGAAACAAACTTTGGTGAACCAGATCAACTTTATTAGAGAATACAAAGAATATATAAGATTGGGGAACATGGGGACAAACCATAATTTGCCTTAAGAGGAACACTCCTATCTCAAGGCTTAGTATGTGTAGGGTTCTATAGCAGATGATGCCTGATTCATCTTTGGCATGCACTTTGGCACAAATTTCTGCTAGAAGGTTTTTGTTAGGAAATCTGCTATAGAAACAGCTTTCAGAGAAGATTAGTCTGGTTGGCACAGAACCATTCTCCAGATAATGGCATGGACAGAAAGGAAGATCTGTTGTTTCTAAGTAGACACCTGTTGTTGAAGTATTGAGATAAGGCACCAGGCCATTGGGAGGCTGTGACATTTACCATCCAGCAATGTCTTCCAACATCGTATCTATGCATTCAAATGTCTATGTACCTATGTATATGATAGATAGATATAGATTAGTTATAAACCCACATATACATACAAGTTTTTCATAATATAAATGACAATATATCTGTAATATAGGAAACACAATATAAAACAGACATTACTTTTTAATTTAATGCAACTTTGTAACAGGATGTTTTTCAGTAGTACTATGTTCTAAATGTCTATCACTATTACCAAGTAGATAAAACATTTTTAATATTCTCATTTTCCTAAGATTCCACCCTCAATATGCAGTGTGCCTTGCAGTCCAGGATTCAGAAAATCCCCTCATCAGGGAAAGGCTGTTTGCTGTTTTGATTGTACCCCTTGCCCAGAGAATGAAATTTCCAATATGACAGGTAAATACATAACATAACAAAATATTCATTGTATTAGTTAAATTCTCCCTTTTTTACATAATTCTCAGTGACATCTACTAGGAATTGAAAATCAAATGAATAGCAATTCTACTCCTTATGCATCACATCCTGTGCCCTGAACTTCTTCTTTGAATCCTTATTGTAGAAACTCTTCACATATTTTCTTGTGGAAACTGTTTTAGTGTACTAAAGATCGATCCCATTACCATTTATCTTTAGTCTGAGATTCAGCCCTTCCTAATATCTTCCCTAAGACATGGAAGTTGCAAGTCTATATTTATATACCCCAATGAGATGTGTCACAACGTGTACAAGCTATTGATGATGCATCCTGCTTAAGAGGCATGCATATTCTCATGTGTCCTATGGTAGATCATGTAGTCACTTGGTAAGTTTCCTTTTGAGTTTGGAAGCCAGCATACAGAAATCCAAATTGAGACATATATTTAATGTATTAGTCATGAAAACAAGTAGGATTGGAAACATTTCAGATTAAGTAGTCAGGGATATCTACTTATTGACAAAGTTCCCATGTAACATTTGGTAGTATAACAGGTAACTAAAAGATGGAATTAATTGCTTGGGAATAATGATGCCAATCTAAAAAAAAAACTTTTTATTTTACTTCATCTGTACATCAAAATGTAAATTTTTCCAAGTAATTTGAACATGATTAAGGTGGAGATGCATGTAGAGTTTAGACACAAATAATTCCATTGAAAAGTTAAACATTATTTGTAGAGTACCAGTTGAATACTGGGGAAAATGTTTCTTACAATAATAAATTGAAAATAAATCAATGAGAAATTATGTTTAATTATATTAACTTTAGTTGATAATAATAATGTACTACTATTACTTTATAAAATTAAATAGTTCCTTGTGTTTATTTGAAAATATTGATAATATAATATTTTATAACAAATAATGATTATAAAATGATTAGAAAAATAAAACCATATGAGTGTTTTGCCCAATGGTTTACATAATGATAACATCAATATTAAAATTAGAGGCATCCATGTATTTACTTCCTGCCTGCTCTTTCTTGTATTCCACCAAAACTTAATATTTCAAGCAAGGTTATCAAGGATTAGTATGGCTGGCAAAAATAATTTTAAAAATCATCCAAAGGGATACTTGCTCAGCCTAGATATATGTGGGGGAGCCTGTCCCCAAGAGATGTGAAGACTTTGATGATACCCTATGGATGGCCTCACCTTCCCTGAGGAATTTATGGAGGCTGGGATGGGGACTTTGTGGGGGCAAGAGGAGGATAGGAGGGAGAGGTTACTTGGATTGGTATATAAAATAAGATTGTTTTTAATTTAAGTAAAAATTAATTTTAAAAATATGTTAACGAATTAAAAAATTCATCCAAATACAAAAATATAAAAAGATGGAGACCATCTCTCTCAAGTTGTTTTCTCAATAAACATTTTTCTATTGAGAATAGTGACAATCAAATCTTACATAAATTAGTAAACTGGTAGACTCTTTTTCTTGACGACAATCATAAGAAACCTAATAGTAAATGTGATACTTCAACACATAGACACTTAAGGTGGTAAATACTTTATGACGTTTCTCCTTTCCCTGACACTATTTATGCAGTCTTTAAAGCTATATGTATGGTTGGCTGTGTTTCATTAAACAAGAGGTTACAAAAAGTAATTGATATTTGGTACCTGCCTTGTAGGTGACAGAACAAAACACATGTGAAAGAATGTGGTTCTATTATGTCATATTTTATAGCCAATAGAATGGTTCATAATGAATATGTCATTCAATATTGTTCAAAATAAGGTATTTTATTTTCCAAACATGAATAATCTGTCACTTGCTGAAAAATTTTAAAAGAAAATAAAAATGATCTGGCTATAAATGAAAAATATAAACAGACTTTAAAAAACGTCATGAAGAAAAAAGATTTTGACCTTTGTTGCTATTAATTTTTTATTTTGGGTTTTTTTTGAGAAAGGTTTTCTTTGTGTAACTTTGTAGACCAGTCTGGTCTCAAACTCACAAAGAATCACCTACCTCTGCTTCCTAAGTGCAGAGATTAAAGGCATGTGCCACCAACACCCACCCTTGCTATTAATTCTTAAGCACAAATTTAACTTTATATCTACCACTAAAATAAGGCTAGTGTGACAAGAGTTTTTTGTTTTTTGAGACAGGGCTTCTCTGTGTAAGTTTGGAACCCATCTTGGCACTCGCTCTGGAGACCAGGCTGACCTCGAACCCACAGAAATCAGCTGGTTCTGCCTCCTGAGTGCTGGTATTTAATGGGTGCTCCACCAAAGTCCAGCTGTGACAAGAGATTTTTACTACATTATTATAACATATTCTCTGAAATACCAAGAAATATTAACCTGATGATACATTTCTTCCTGTATCAGGCATGGATCAGTGTGTGAAGTGCCTTGATGATCAGTATGCAAACCCTGGAAGAAATCGCTGTCTCAAAAAAGTTGTGACATTCCTGGGATATGAAGACCTCTTGGGAATGTCTCTAGCCTGCTTGGCTGTATGCTTTTCTCTACTAACAGCTGGCATACTAGGTGTCTTTTTGAAACACAAGGACACTCCCACAGTCAAGGCCAATAATCGAGATCTTAGCTATGTTCTGCTTATCTCCCTCATTTTTTGCTTTCTCTGTTCCTTGCTCTTCATTGTCTTTCCCAATATAATCACATGCTTGATGCAGCAGACCATATTTGCCATAGTGGTCACTGTGGCTGCTTCTACGGTGTTGGCCAAGACAATTACAGTAGTACTGGCCTTCAAGGTTACTACTCCAGGTAGAAGGATGAGGAGGCTGCTGGTGTCAGGGGCACCGAACTTCATCATTCCAATCTGCACCATGATTCAACTGATTCTGTGTGGGATCTGGCTGGGAACTTCTCCTCCATTTGTTGATGTTGACATACACATTGAAAAAGACCACATTTTGATTGTCTGTAACAAAGGTTCAATTACTGCCTTTTATTGTGTTCTGGGATACATGGGATCCATTGCCCTGGGAAGTTTCACTGTAGCTTTCTTGGCCAGGAATCTGCCGGACACATTCAATGAAGCCAAGTACTTGACATTCAGCATGCTGGTGTTCTGTAGTGTCTGGATTACATTCCTCCCTGTTTATCATAGCACCAAGGGCAAGGCTATGGTGGGTGTGGAGGTTTTCTGTATCTTGGTCTCCAGTGCAGGGCTGCTTCTTTGCATCTTTGCTCCAAAGTGTTTCATTATTTTGTTAAGACCTGAGAGAAATTCTTTAAAAAATTACAGGAATGTGCATTATAAAATTGAAAATACTCATTAAATTTTCCTGTCATATTCATTTTACAATACATGAGCAAAAGAGTAAAGTGACACATTTACCCTCAAATATTAAGTCAAAATATGTACTTTGTCTCATTAGTTAACATAGAAAATAAGCTACACATTAGAGCTGTAAAATTTGGCAAGACCTCAGTTCTCATGGATCAAACATTCTGATCTCACATTGCAATATCTGTAATGCTAGTTTCCTGCTTTATATCCATGTACTTGATTTGGATAATAGCTATACATTAGTCTAGATCTTATGTATTAACATCTTATATAACTTATGTACTATAAATTATTGTTAAGTTTCTGTTCTTTTCTAAATCATTACAGTGGGAGATGTATGGGCATGCATATATATATATATATATATATATATATATATATATATATATATATGAGAATTCTGTTTAATTTGACATGAGATAAAAAGTACATTACACAAAATTAATTGATTCATTTATGACCAAGTATTTTGTATTTACATGACACACATACACCCATATGTAACAAAAATAATGAAAAACTAAGTGGCTCTAAACTAAAAAATTAGGGCTTGAGAACAGTGACAGGAATGGAGGAAGGAAGGGATAGAGGCAAGTGATACTATTGTATTTAAATAAACACTAAAAACATAATTCTAAGAAAAGAAAAATTTTCTCAGGCCCTTCATATATGACATATACCCATGCACATGAATACACATTTACACACACACACACACACACACACACACACACACACACACAGAGAGAGAGAGAGAGAGACACACACACACACACACACACACACAGTATACATTGCTCTGTAACCTTGAAGTTCTCTTAGTTTTCAAAATTCATTCTTCTATAACAACCTGAGGATTAAAGAAGACTCACCTTGTCCTACTGTCCACAATAGTTACAAATGAAATTCAGAAATTATGAGAAAACAGAGGCTGTTTTCCATCACTTATTGTATTTTTTATGGGATAATGTGGAACCTACATTAGGATGCAAATATTTTTAATAGTTTATTCTGGCTGTTTTTTTTCTTTCATTTAAAATGGAATCTTTTTTCATACAGTATATCTTGATTATAATTTCTCCTCACCGTGCTCCTCCTAGTGTCTCCCTGCTTACCCCCTTCTAGAACAACTCCCATCATATCTATTAATAGAAAATGAAACAGGCTTTAAGCAATAGCATTCAAATATCCAAAAATATAGTATATTAAGCTGAAGAAAAATTGTCATATTTAAGTTGGACAATGCAACCCAGAGAATCCCAACAGTAGGAATAATAGTCAGGGACCCATTCATTCCTAAAATAGAGTCCTTATCCTACAGTGTGTTCTGCTGGCAAAACATGCTAGGGCAATGGTGGCAGGCAAATTGCAGAAATAGCAAAACAATGTCTGATTTGACTAAGCCCCTTCCTGTGGGACAAAACCTACACCCATCACTGAATGTATAACCAAGTAGCTGAGGTCAGATATTCCAGAAATGATAAGTAAAACAAAACACTACTGCTCTAAAAAGGAAACCAATAAAATCGTTTCTACAGATAATCTATCCTTAGAAATCAGTGTCTGATTCAGTCATCATCAGAAAGGCTTCCTCCAGCAGCAGAAGGATAAAGATGCAGAGACCTTGTGGACATTTTGTGGAACAAAAGTGTAAGTGAGAGATATGAATCAAGTTCTTCCCCTCAGAGATCAAGGAATATCACAACAGAGGAGATAGAAAGATTCTAAGAGCTAGATGCTTTGGAGATTATCAGGAGAAAAAACATATTCTCATAATCAAGTAAACAAGGAGCATATGATTGAAAGGAAGTAGCAAGCACAGGGTCTGCAATGTATGTGCCATGTCATCTGTGTGTATATTAGATCTATTAGTTTAAGACTTTTAATCAAATCTTTTCATCTGAGAGTAGATGAATACTAAAAGTTGATATGGTACAAATGATGACATTAAGAAGTAACTACTTTCTTTCAGATTTAGTTTGAAAACTGGTAGTATTCCAACACTCCACTGAATGTTTCTATACCCACTGATGTAATAGTATCATTAAATGAAAATTAAGCATTATCAAAAGACAAAGAAATTGAGATGAGTGTATGTAAAATGTGTATGGGGACATGTGGAAATACACATAGTGTATTTAAAACTCCCCATTGTCTAACTGTCCTACCCAGGAAGAGGATAGGTTAGATGATTAGAACCAAAAAGGAATGAGCAAAATAATCAGTATCAATCATGAGTTGTAAGAGAGTGAAAAATCGGACTGTTTGAAGTGCCTTTGAACCAGAACAAGAAGTTACTATGGAATTTTTTCTCATACTGGTACCAAATGCAACTTTGATTCCTTTCACATATATAATTACTCCAGTAGCAGGAAAAATGCTGGAGTATATGGGAGCATGAATTTTCTACAACCCAACCTGCCTTCATAGTGAAAAGAACATTCTTATTTTTCTTTTAATATTATAGAAAGAGTCAGTTATATTTATCCATTTTCAGGAGTTAACATGATTTTAATTTCAGTTTGTACTTTACCTCTACTCCAAAATCAAGACACTTTTGGATCCATTGGATATTCATTTTGAATATTAGACTTGGCCATTGAAGATACTACATACTGACTGTTATGTTTTGGGTAAGATCAAAGATCCTAGGAATGTGTCACTCATTTTGAGGATTGATTGATTTCCTCACAGAGAAAAAGGTGTCAACTACATAGAATTCTAGAATTTCATGAAATGTACAGGGAATTGATAATTGCAATAGCCATGGTGTGAGCTCCTATCATCATGCATACTTTCTCTTGACTCAAGACCTCAAATTTCTTATTAAAGTCCTTCAACATTTATATAATAATGTGGTGAATGGAATGATGCCCATAGATTACTGTTTGAAATCCCAAATATCAAGAAGGATGGTCCTATGAAACTGACAGCCAAAACAACTAGGTATTCCATAAAATATGTGTCCTATAGTGCATTTGTACATGCTTTCAGATTTTGAGGCAAAAGGACAGCATCATTCTCAAAAATCCTTCTTTTTTGTTTTTGTTTTTGTTTTATGTTTTTTGTTTTTTTTGGTGCTGGGTGGTAGGGTAGTTCAGTGGAGATGATAGCTTCTATCTGTGTGTTATTGTATAAGAGGAGATGATTTTCGGTCCCAGAGAAAAAGGGAAGGTACAGCTCAAAAGTCCATGTCTTGCCAACTAAGAGGCTTCAGTTGCCTCCAGTCCCCTCAAACCATGGGAGGATGGACCTGGAGGAGGGGCTGCATCTGCAAAGACCATTCAAGAAAATAGCAGGCATGTGAATGGAGGCTGGTTCACTTGAATGCATGTATGTGTCCCATGTGTGTGCTTGTTGGATCCCTCAGAACTGGGATTACCAATGGTTGTGAGCCATTATGTAGGTGCTAGGAATCTCAAAAATCCTTCTTTTATTTCTCAAAATTCATTCTCATCAGTCTCTGATGACAAAGTACTACTCTCCCTATGGTACACTGTTTATTGTATAATTCCAGAATGTCCCTTCCTCAACTTTTACTTTACCATGTAGTGATATCATCAGTAACATTCCTTCTAAGGATCTACAATGGATCCTGACCAGAATATGTGGGTTGTGGTATTTCACAGCCCAAATACATAATAGACCCAGCCATGAAACTTCTTCAAATTTTACTGTAACACAAATAAATAAATTGCCCAAGGCTGATATTGAGTTTCAACGTGAAAATCAGGGAAGCAAAGCAGCCAGCCACTAGATCTCACCTATAGCTCTGGCTGAAAGAGATGATCCAACCATGAGCTCTTCTCCAAGTCTCAAACTGTTGCCTCTCCTCACTGTGACTGGAAAGAATCTCTCTACTAAATCTTTGCTTCTGTTTTTATATCCCTCTTGTGCTGGGATTAAAGCTGTGAGCTATAATTCTCTTTTAGACTCTGTAGATTGGGATGACTTGAACTCACAGAGATCCCTCTGTCTTTTTATCCTAGGATTAAATATGTGTACCACCTACCTTCTTGCTGCTGTACTTAAAAGTGTGCATCGCCACTGCCTGAGCTCTATATATTGAGGCTGACTTTGCTTTTCTGAATTCTCAGTCAAGCTTCAATAAATCATAAATAATATATCACTACAATTCCCCTTTTTATTTAATAGAAAATGAAGAAGGCTACAATTCACATAAGAAAAACTATATACAATAAGTACATCTAATATAAAATGGCAATAAATTTGTCAAAAATGTCTAGTCCATTTGCATTTGACACATTCAGAGAAAGTAATTCATTATCTATCCTATCTTGGTGAGTCTGAAGTCTTGTACCTAATTTATTTCCTATTTTAATTTCATTATCAAATTATCTTTTAATGTCTCTCAAATCACTTACACTTTACAAACCTTCAGTGAGTTGTATTTCGAAGTCTGGTAAACAATGAAAACTGCAACTAATATCTAGTCTTCAGCTCCTCCAAAGACACAAGAAGGAAATAATAATAGGAAGTGTGATCAAGCAACTTACAAAAACTGTAAGAAATGGCAAAAATAGCTGGCTACCTGGACAATAACCCAAGACTCCTCTACAAATTGGCATATTTATTTTCAGCCTATAGGTCTAGAGTCTATGACAAACTTTTGTGTGAAACAGCATTATCTGAAGGTCGTCCTGCCTTCTTGTAAGGTATTGCAGTCATCCTCTTTTGTGTCTTATTTGTCCATTTTAGACAGCATACTGTCAGCAGTCAAGGCAAGGGCACTTTCATGCCCAGGGGCTTGCCACAAAGAAAGTAAACTCCATGTGATTTTCTTCAATGACCAGCATCTTCTCTTCAGTACATTGGTGCTGCCAAGAACAGACATGTCTCATTGTCATAAAAAAGAACCTTTGTCATTAAAAGTTTTAACTGCCACATTCTGTAGATCTCTGAAGTTTTTGAAGACCATGTGTATTTCTAAAATATATCTGTTTGTCTTTGAAAACACACCAAATGTTA